TCTGGCTCAAGTCCCGCCAGCCAGGAGAGCCGCCCTGCGGGGACTGCAGACCCAGAGTGGGTGTGGGAGCCCAGGGACGATGCCAAGACCCTGAGAAGCCTCCCTCTGTCATGGCCACGGGCTGAAGGTCTGCCAGGCTGGGCCTGGACAGGGAGGGCCAGGGCAGGGCACAGCAAGTCTCTCCTGGATGGGCCCCCGCCGGTGGGAAGTGAGGGCTGGGCCAGGCACCCACTGCTCGCAGCCTGGGGCCAGGGCTTGGAGAGCAGGGCCCATCCTAAGGGCAGCAGGCCTGACAGGAGGCAGGCTGATCCCCTGTGGCAGCCACCGCTAGTCCCACTGAAGAGAAAGGTGGGGGGTCGGGGAGAGAAGCCCACTTGTCCCCCACCCCCGTGATGCTTGGCTGCTGAGCAGAACGAAGACCGCGACCGTTAGAAACCGGACGTAGGAGAGCGGCCTGGGTGGAGTGTGGCCAAGGGGAGGGGGGTGGCCAGGATGGCCCTGGGGGCGGGCAGAGGGCTGGGGACGGCAGGCACAGCACCGGCCTTCCTGCAGCCGCGACAGTAGCAAGAGCAGCAGGGACAGCGGGAGGGGGGTGCCTCGTTCCCTCTGGAGCTCACGGGGCCTCGTTGGAGCCAATCCCGTTGCCTTTGTTGACGTAGAATGGCCGGTGGTGAGACTGCGGGAACAAGAGTAGTTAGGGGTGCGCATGGCGGGGATCCCATTAGCCAGACCCACCCCACCCTAACCCCCGGGAAGCGGCAGTGGTCTGAACCCCAACAATTCTACGAGCTGTGGCCTAACCTGCAAGCTCGATCTATGCTGTGATCAGGATCGGGCGCCCATGTCAGTTTCCAGGTTCAAATCCTAATTAGAGTTTATTTCCCTCCATTGGTTGGTGAGCTTGAACCTCAGCCCCTCGTCCAATTCCCTCCATGGCCCAGGGCCTCCCAGCCATTGCAGCTCTCGCTCTGCAGGGCTCTCTACTCAGCAGAGCCACACGCTGCTCACACACGGACTTGTAGGATTGCCGCCGCCACCCGTTACCTGGGCTACTGCTCTCACGCCCACTCTCCAGGTGAACAAACCGAGGCGCTGCGAGGCTAAGCGATTTGCCCCGGTCACCGCTGGTAAGTAGAGGAACCGGGACGCCAGGCCCGGCAGTCCGGTCCCGTGCACCCACCGTCCCCACCCATTTCTCCAAACCACTTCCGGGTCTCGAGGGCTTTGGATGTTTGCTGCTCCCTTTGCCTGAATCTCCTGACAGAGGCGGTAGAGAGAGGCCTGCGCCCGCCCCAGCCCAGCACCTCCTCTTCCATCCTGGCTCCTCCTCGGGACTCAGGAAGCACCTCTCAGGACAGAGCCAGCGACCTCTCCTGCCAGGTCTGTGTGTGACATCCAGCAGCGATTTCACATAACCAGCACTCCCCTCCTTCCTAGGCCCTGGCAGGCACTGGGACCCTGACCCTGACCCTGACCCAGGAGATACCAGGCGCCCCCACCCTGTCCTTGGCCTTGCCAGCTTAGACCCTGTATTTCCTCGGACTCCTTGCTGCGCCCGGTCCCCAGCAGCCCTGGGGCCTGGGGCCTGGGGAACGCAGGGTGGAGGCCTCAGCTCATGCCTCCGGGACCCCACCTGTAAGCAAGGGAAGAGATGGAGGCCAGGGAGGGAATGACAGGCAAGGCACACAGCCACTGAGCCGCAGCGTCCGGACCAGGTCTCCGGACCCCCAGGTGCCCACTGGACCCCAAGCCTTCAACACAGCAAAGGGAATGGCCTGGCCGTGGCTGCGCCATTCAGGGAGGCGGGTCAGTAAGACGGGCAGCAGGTCAGTGAACAGTGCTGTCTCTGTAGCCCCGAGCGGTGGGTGGGTGGAGGCGCACAGCCCAGGCACCTGGCAGGGTGTGCTCCCCCCACACCCCCGTTCCCTCTCTGGGTCGCAGTCACAGCCTGTGAGGGCTGGAAGAGCTATGACATCATCCCAGCCATCTGACTCATGTTACAGATGGGGAAACTAAGGCACCGAGGAAGAATGGCTCCCATGAGGTCACAGGGCAGGTGGTGAGAGGCCTGGGGCCTGCCCCTCCCTGGGCGTAGAATCCCCTGCCTCTGCTCCCAGCTCTGGGCGCGGCTGCTGGCACCAGGGCCCAGCCAGCCCGGCATCTGGAGGTGCCATGAGCCCCCTCCATGAGATGCGGCTCTGGGACGTGGGGGACGGGGCGGGGGGACGGGGGCTGAGCCCAGGAGCAGGGGCTTCGGCTTCCCTCACTTGCTTTGGGCACCTGCTGCTGCAGTGCCCTGGGCCCGGCTCTACGTCACATACACTGTCACTCAGCTCCAGTGGCCAGAAAGTTCAAGGTCCTCCCAACGAGCCAGCCTCTTCACTCCTGTGGCCCAGGTCCAGCCCCGCCCTGTGCTCTGACCTCCCTGTGCAAAGGCGGCAGGAGCAGCCTGTCCTCAGCAGGTGCGCCCACCTCCCAGGGCAGCGGGCTGACCCCTGCAGGGCTGGCCTGGCCTCCATGGGAGAAGCCTGTGGAGATGTGCACAGCGTTTGAAGGTGTGATCGCTGAGGTCTGTGCAGGGCCCGGCATGTCTGCTACCGAAACCTAAACACATCTGTTCCGAAGTTTGCAGACGCTGCCTCAGCTCTCCCACTGCCTCGCCAGATGCCCGTCCCAGGCTGAGCATGTCACACTCCCAGAGCTGGCAGCAAAGCCGCCATTCAGCAAGCACAGGTGCCCAGCAGCCATCTGCCCAGTAACAGCCAAGGCTGCCCGTTTTACAGATGAGAAAACAGGCTCAGCAAGTCCATGCTGACTTACGCCCCCGCCTGTGAGCCCTGGGTTCCTACTGCCCTTTGCTGTGTGCAGGTCCTCGGCCACTGCTGCCTCCTCCCGCCCATGGCCCGGAGATGCCACCGTCCCCCCACAGGCCCCGGGCAAGTGACGAGCTGTCACTGGGGAGCCCCATTTAGCGCCCCATCTGGCCATGCCTGGCCCAGACGGGCTCTCCGCAAGGCTCCTCACTCACCAGCAAAGTCTGTTTGCCAGATTTCCAAGTCTGGGGCTGGACCTTGGGGCTCTGGCTCCGCATGAGGGAGGGGTAGCCTGGGAAGACAGAGGCTGTGGTCAGAGGAGGCCCTGCACGCTGGGAGCCCCCAAGGCACGGACCCATCTCCAAAGAGACCGCCAAGCTCCATCCAGCCCGTTACCAAGGAGAGCCACCCCTGAGGAGGTGTGCAGCCCCGGGTCCCGCTGGGGAAACCTGGGAGGCTGGCCAAAGGGAGGGGCCCAAGGCAGACAGAAAGAGAAGGAGCAGGCGAGGTGGGCTGGGCCAGGCAGCAGGGGAGTGTCCCCTCAATCCAGGTCAGGGTCACCCCACTCTGTGGGAATTTTCTCCCCCTCCCCCCCAATCGCCTCCACCCCCGTCCTGAAGCCTCACCCCCTCCCAGAGCCCAGGAAAGCCTCTTCAGAGCACAGCCTGCCAGGCTCACAGGAGGCCCCCACCCCGTGCTGCACGGAGACCGATGTGCCCTCACTGATTGGCCCACTGGGCTCCGTGCTGGGTCTTGCTGAGCCCCGCCCTATCTCATGTGAGCCCAGGTTTGCTGGACACCAGCCCCGCCCTTGGGCTCTGCTGCCCCTCCTGTGTCAGAGCAGGGGGACCGGATCCCGGGAGGGGCAGCAGAGCCCTGTGGCTGTGGTCCAGGGATGAGGCCGCAGCCCCGGGGCCTGGAGCAGGGGTCCTGGGGCCCCAGGGAGGCCTGGGAGAGCTGCGGCCCCAGGACTGGGGAGGCAGGAGCGGAGCCGGGGAAAGACCAGGCTGAGGCCTGGAAGCGAAGGGACTCGGGAAGTCAGCAGGCCCTGCCTGGCCCGGGCTCAGCAGGTGAGCCTCATCCTGGGCACCAAAGGGGTGTGGGTTCGATTCCTCGTTGGGGCACATACCCAGGTTGCAGGTTCTACCCCTGATCAGGGCATGTGTGGGAGGCAACTGATCAAAGTTTCTCTCACATTGATGTTTCTCTTTCTTGCTCTCTCTCCCCTTCTCTCTAACAATCAATAAACATAACTTTGCGTGATGTTTATAGTGTGGGATTCATGAGGTCAAACAATTAAAAAAGAAAGAAAGCCTGGCCAGTGTGGCTCAGTGGTTGAGCGTCAACCTATGAACAGGAGGTCACAGATCAATTCCCGGTCAGGGCACAGGCCCAGGTTGCAGGCTCGATCCCCACTGTGGGGTGTGCAGGAGGCAGCTGATCATTGATGTTTCTCTCTCTCCTTCTCCCTTCCTCTCTAAAATCAATAAAAAAAACACAAAACATTAAAAATTTTAAAAAAAGAAATCACGTCTGTCCCTGGCGAAGGCCACCGAGAGCCCTCAGGCCTGTTCGAAGGGACAAAAGCTGGTCAGACCCAGAAGCCACCGGCAGCACCGGCAGGAGGCCAGCCCGGCTGCCCTTCCTTGGTGGGCACTGGGTGAGGGCAGAGACGAAGCAGAGACCCAGGCTCCGCCTGCACCTGGGGCGGGACAGCCTTGCAGAGAGGGTCCTGCTGACCCTGAGCAGGAGCCATTCCCAGGAAGAAAACCCCGCACCAGCCGGGGGGGGGGCCGGGGCCGCAGGGGGAGTGGGGCAGCAGGGGGCCAGTGGGCACCCACGCTCTCCCGTGTGGGAGAGAAGGGGCGGGGACGGACAGGTACCGGGACTAATTTTAAACAGCTCATTGGTGTCCACCGGCTTGGGGAACTCTGTGGTGGCCTGTCCCAAGGTGGGGAAGTGGTGGGGGGGCCGCCCAGGGCCTGCTGGGAGAGAGAGACGTTAGCAGCGCGGCGTTTCAGGGGCTGCCTTCCACAGCCAAGCTCTCTGCCTCCTGAGCTGCTGCGCCAGCTGCGGGCGGGGCTGGTCCTGGGCGGGGTCTCCTTGCTCACACGCAGCCCTGCCTCCCTCCAGGGCCCTTCCCAGGGGGCTGGTGAGCTGATCTGTGGAGGTGACAGCAGGTGTCCCAGGCTTCCTGGAGGACACAGCGCATGGGAGGGGGGCTCCCCTGAGGTCAGGCCGACCGGAGGCTCTGCGGGCAGGTGAGGAGACACTGGGGAGCAGGACACCCCACCTGACACCTGCCGGGCAGCCTTTGACTGGGCCTGACCGCAGAGCAGGGAGGGACCCGTTAGAAGCCAGACAGGCCACGGGGACCCCAGTTCCCCAGCTCCTGCCGGCGGGGACCCTTCACCTGGCTGATCGTTCCAAGACTCTGCCCTGGGCATAGGCTGGGTTCCAGCCTGGAAGAGGGGGCTGGAGGATGAAGCAGCCTTCAGAGGCTGCTGCCTGGATGTCTGCCACCCTGCGAGCCTCCCCCTCCCGCCCCCCCCCCCCCCCCGCCCAGAGCCCTGCCCCCCCCTCCGCCATCCTGTCTTCCAGGCCAGGCATCCTCGGTGCGGGACACGGGCGGGCGGGCGGCTCCCTGCACCAGGGCTCACCAAGCCTGAACATCGCCAAAGAGACGCAAGGGCCTGGGCCCACTGTGAGGGGTTTGGCGCGAGCCTCCCCTCAAAGCGACCTGCCTCCAGGGGCCGGAGGGCGGACTATGCAGCCGTGTGGAGCCGGGGAGCGGATCAGAAGTGGGGGCCCTGGAGGTCCTCGTGCCCACTTTCCCCAAAGCAGCTCGAGGGCTTTGGCTCTGCGGACCGGACCGGTGCCAGGTGCCGCCTGGCCACAGGGTTCAGCTCACCCAGCGGGGGTCAGGGGTGAGCATAGGGGGCTCAGCCCGCACACCTGGGATGGGGGGAGGAGGGGGTGGGGAGGTGTGGCCTGGCCCCATCGCCCGGACCCGCACGCCCACAGGGGACAGTGCGATTAAACAGTCCCCGGAACGCTGCCTGGTCAGCTGCCCTGGACGGTGGGGAGGGAGAGTGGCTCCCTGGCTCCCCACCCAGGGCTCGGGCCCTGGGAGGCGAGGGCCTGGCGAGTGAGGAGCAGGGCCAGGGGCAGGGCTGCCGGTGGCAGGGGAGCGGGGAGCAGGGCTCAGCTCACCTTTCAGAGAGAAGGAGGAGCCGCCTTGGAGCCCGGGCAGGGGCAGGTCCTCGGGGCCCTGCACGGTGGAGGAGTACTCCCACACTCGCGACGTGTAGTTACCTGGGCGGCAAAGGGAAGGGTCAGGCCACCGAGGTCGGCCCGGGGCCAGAGCCAGGACAAGGCCAGTCCTGTGCCTGTCCAGTCCTCGCCGTGTCTCAAGCCAGGAGGACGCTGGGCCCACTCACCTCCTGCCAATCACAGCTGTCCTTCTGAACTGGGAGGTGCTGCGTCCTGCCCTCCCCCAGGCCCTGGCTGTCCGGCTTTCCGGTGAAGGTTCAAAGCCCACGCGACACGGCCCACCGCTCTCCCCGGCTGCTGCCCACCTCTCACCACAGCCTCCACCTCCTGGCTCCCCCTCGCGCCCCCTCCATCGCTCATCATTCCACCGGCTGCACTCGGAGCTCCTCAGACACTGCAGGTTCCCTCTTGCCCTGGCTTTTTGCACAGACCAGGCCTGGGGTACTCCCCATGCACCCCACTCTCAGCAAATCCATGTGCTGGTCTTCAGTCTGTGTGAGCTCAGCCACGCCCCCCTCACCACCCGCCTGCCGGTGTCGGTGCGTGCTCAGCTGTCTGTCTCCCCACTGGGCTCCGAGGGCAGCATGGCACCCGTGCCCGGCACAGAGCCTGGTCCCAGAAGGGGCTCCTTGGATGGCTGACAGATGAAATGAACAAATAAATGCAAACATGGGCTAAACTTTAGAGACAGAGCAGCTGCTACACCTCCTGGCACTCTGCTCACCAGGTGGGGCAGCTGACACGTGTCCATCTGCAAGCGTGTCCCTGCAGCCTGGAGAGAAGGAGGCAGCGGGGGAACATGCAGGACAGTGGGGGTCCTCAGGGCCCCTCCTCTGGCCCCTCCCATCCAGCACGCAGGGTCCCAGTCCTGCGATTTCCCATGTTGCCTGCAGGGGGGTCTGGGGCTCAGCAGTCAGAGGGGCTGGCTGTCCACCTGCTGTAGGCGAGCCCCACCCACAGGGTGCCCAGGAAGTCTGCAGTCTGGACCTCAGCCAGCACGTCTGCCCAAGGCTCTCAGGCCCATGGGCCTGGCCCCGTCATTCCCTCACTTATCTGTCCTCTCCCCCCACCCCCCCCCCACCCCGAGTCCCTTCGGGCCTGAGGTGGCAGCCGTGACGGACAAGACGGAGCTTGGCCTCACAGTCTGCTGTGCGCGTGATGGTGCAATGGGGGCCAGTCCTGGACATGAGGCCTGGGCGCTGCCCGTCCAGGGGGCCCTGCCTCCAGATCCCCAGGACCTCGTTTTCTCTGAAGAGGCCCCACCTGGCCTCGGCGGACTGGCTCTGTGCCGGGGGCTGGGAGCTGGCTCAGTCTCCCCCACTCCCTCTGCACGGGGCTGGGCAGGACCAGGGGCCCCAGGAGGCACCAGGCCTCCCAGCTGGGCCCCCCAAGCCCACTGCCCGCCCTCGGCGTGAGACCCACCGCAGCACCTGGGCAGGGGCTCGGCACCGGGCTGTCCCCGGGAGGCCAGGGCTCCGTTCCCATCTCGTCTCTCCTGGGCCGAAGGGCATGTCACCCTCCCCTCTCATGGCAGGGCACCTCCCTGACGTCTGGGCGGGCCCACTCCTCCCCGTGCCACCCTGCCACTTACAGCAGCTGGCGTTTGGCTTCACGCAGATTCGCAAGGTCCCTGTGCCCCAACCGCGCTGAGGGGCGTCCCCACACCCATACCGGCCCCAGCTCCCCGCTTGTCCCCAAGCAGAAGGCCCCGGACCCAGGGTTCCCAGGGCGGCCCCTGCTCCCTGCAGCCTGAGTCACCGAGTCTCACACTTGAACACACAGGCACACTCACCCTTTACCCTCAGCAGGACCCTCCCGACCACCTCTGAGCTCACAACCCCTCCCCAATCCTCCTTCACCTTGGATTGAGAAGCCCAGCACACGGCCCACCTCGCCCTGAGCCCCGCCCACCTTGCTCCGAGCCCCGCCCACCTGGCCCTTAGTCCCGCCCCTACCTTTGGTGCCATAGAGATTATTGAAGTTCTTCTGGTTGGTGTCCTTGGGGAGGCGGCTGGGGGACACGGGCTGGTACGACGTCCTGGCCCCCCCTGGGAAGCAAAGGGGAAGAGCTGTCATCGCAGAAGGTGGGGCTGCTTACTCAGGGCGGTACCTCTGACCTGAAGGGCCCCCAGCGCCTGTCCCAGGGCCCAGATGCCACTACGACAGCTCACTGGGGGCTGGAATAAGGTGATATGTCATTTACCCCCAAGCCCCAAGTCGGGACACTTTCCTAACCATGCCAAGAGCACCAGGTGTGGCCTGGCCAGCCCTGGACACAGGGATGCATCTGGTCACCTGCTCGAGACTGAGGGTCACCAGGGGCTGGAGAGGCCAACATGCCACCCTGGGCCAGTCCCCTGTGGCTGCAACCCCCGAGGCTGGGACACCGGGCTCCTGTGAGGACGGGTGGCCACGGGGACTGTGAGGTGCTGGACGGAGGCCCCGGGCCAGCAGAGGCTGAGGAGCGGGTGCCCATGGACATGGCCAGGTGCTTCCCTGGGAGAGGGTCCTCTGCCCCCCACCCCGATGTGGCCTCTGACATCAGTCTTGAGAGGGTGGCGGGCTGGGATACACACACCCCTTTACAGACGAAAAAACACACTCCCGCCCTGGCCGGCGGGGCTCGGTGCTGAGTCGGCCTAGGAACCAGGTCAGGGTTCAATTCCCAGTCCAGGCACAGGCCCGGGTTGTGGGCTCGATCCCCAGGGTGGGGCATGCAGGAGGCAGCCGATCATGATTCTCTCTCATCATTGATGTTTCTCTCTCTCTCTCCCTTCCTCTCTGAAATCAATAAAATATATTTTTTAAAAAAGAAAGCACACTGAGGTCCTTCTGTGGGTCCTCCCTCTGCAGAGCCAACCCTGTCCGGTTCCAGCCCCTGCCCAGCCCCTGCTGGTCCTCCCTCCGACCCCCCCCCTGCAGTGCTCACACCTCTCTCCAGCCAGGCCCTCTGCACTGAGCCCACTGCCTCTTGCCGGGCCCTGGAGACCACCCCTCCTGGGAGCCTGACTGACCAGCCCCACTGCCCGGAGCCCCCAGACTCCAGCAGGCAGCCCTCCAGGGGCCATGCTTCCTGAGTCTCTGACCCTCCTTGGCCCCAGAGGGCACATCTCCTCCTGTTCCAGGGCAGGCGGGGCTGGGGCACGGGGTCGGGGGTTGGGGGGCACCTGCTTCTCCCCTGCAGATGCCCAGCCCCACGCACAGGGCCAAGAGGATCCCTCCTGGCATCCTCTCTTCTCAGACAGGGACAGAGGGTGGTGACAGTCAGGCTGTCAGGGGACACGGTGGGGTGCTCTGCCCTCCCTCCCCATCACTGCCCTCCTCCTCGCAGCCTGCGGGAGAGCTGCCCTCCCCACCATTGTCTACAGAATGGGGGGGCAGAGCAGGGGCAACTCGGGGCTCAATGCCCAGAGGCCTGGGGAGCGAGGAGAGAGGCCAGGTGGGGAGCTGGGATCTCACAGAATTGTGCCCAAAGGGCAGCACCAGGGGTCGGGGGTCGGGGGGCAGGACTCGCTGTCCACACCAGGACTGTGGGGGTGGGGTCAGGTGCGGCTGCCTCTCCAGGCCTCCACCTGAAGTCCAGGTGCTGTTTTCTCATTGGGTGGGGTGGCTACTCTGAACTGAGCTCATCCCTCCCACCCTGCACCCCACCCAGTGTGTGTCCCAGGGGGTGAGTCAGTGAGGGCTGAGGCCTCCTCCACGCATCCTTTCTGCCTCTCCCCACATGTATTCTCCCCCAGTATGTGCCTGCACCCCCTCTACCTTATGATCATGACTACCATATTTTTAAAAGCATTAACAATTTTAAAGTAAGATGATGGCTTTGAAATAACAGCAAGTAAAAGATAGTTCAGTTCATGCCCACGAGAATTTACAACTGTAAAACATGTTTAGGTTGGACTTTGAGAATTTATTTTTAGATAGATAGATGGCTCACACCATTCCTCTGTAAGGAATTGGAAAATCTCCAAGTTTTAAATTATATCTTTTTCTTGAGATTTAAGACTCAAGAGGCAGGAATTCAGTTAGGGTTACTGATAAATAGAATAGCAATTTCTTTGTAATTTTCTCTCTTGTCTTGACCTTCAATTTCTCCTAAAAAGCACTTCAACATTTTCACTCCCTTATCCTATGTTAGTATGACTTTTTACTAGCATTAAAAGATAATGACTATATATATATTTTTTACTCTAATATCTTCCAGGGTAGTGAAGTTGGTCTATAAAAGGAAATGTTAGTTCTTTTCAAGGTAAGCCATGGTGATATGGAAGCATTTACCTAGGAAGAGAGGTAGAATTAACAAAATCAAGATTAAAAAAGGACAAGAAGGGTCTGTTTTTTGGTCCAAATCTAAGGTCCTTGTTAAATTCTGTCAATACTCAGGTACATAGAATGGGCTTTTACATTCAGTTCCTACATTAAAAATTTGCTTTAT